AGCACGAAGGGCTTTGTTGTTAACTTTATGCACACGCAGGGCAGTAAGCTGATCTGGAAACAGTAGCTTGTTCATTTCAAAATAACAGTACCAATGCATATCCTAAATGTACGAGTGAATACTGTAGTATAATACTTGGCATTTTCACCCAGGGTGGCAGAAAGGCATTGCAAACATTAATAAGCTATTGGCTTGATTCCCCAGCAGCAAAACACCTGGTGTTTTCACTTACATTTGTGAAATAAAGAGGGTAAACACTAAAAAGTCTGTCCCTCCCCTGTTCCCCAGGGGAGCAGGAGCTGTTGTTTGCCATTCCTGCAGACACTCAGCTGAGTGCCTCGATGGGCAGTGGTGGTGGCACCTGGCAAAGGCTCCCGTGGTGCAGCTGAGAGGCAGGACTGCAGCACAGCACTCCTTGGCCCAGGGCAGTGCCACAATCCCTGCTGCAAGTGCTGATGGTGAGACACTATGGACAGGTAAAATGAGATGAAAAGAGCAGCTCACTAAGTGGGGCACCTCTCCTGTCTGCCTGTTCCTCCCTGCAGAACTTATTTTCACAAAAACATGCAACTGCCCTACTGTTAACATTTCAGATGAGGACTTCCTCTTGCCAACATGCAGTCTCCCTCAACAAAACTGACAATTCAATTCATCTTCAATTGCCTCCTCCATGAGATTTGCATTTTCTGTCCTCCTAGACTGGTGCCAAAGTGTTCCCAATATATTCAGTGTTTCTTTGTCCATATTTTTATATCCAGGAAAACATAAAACATTTTCCCCTTCTGCTCTAAAGACAGTTTTATAGACTAAAAGTTGGCATTGCTAAATGATGGGATAGACAGACAGACAAGATCAACTGATTAAAGATGTCTCACTAGGGAAGTGTCCCTAGTACACAAAAATTACCATTTGCTCTGTTATTTATCTTCTTTTACTTTTAGATGTATCCAGTCACATCATCTTAGATGATTCTTATTCCTCCATAGATGCTAACTTTCTGTTAAGTAGATACTGTTTGGGTTTTTTTTTCTTCTAATGCAAGGCTTTGATGTGTTGAAACATACAGTCATACAGTTTCAACTTTTCCAATATTTCCCCCATATTTTTTACATGAAATAATTTGTCAGATTGCAAATGGATACGTGAATAACTGTGGTTCCCTCAGAAGCACCTTTTTTTTTTTTTTTTTTGGAAATAAAGTTATTCCACACAGAAAAATCATGCCTAGCTCTACCTGGAATTTCCTTGCACACAATGTACACCACTCCTGCAGCAGTGGCAAGTTTAATTAATATTCCTTTCTACCCCCATCCTGTCCTCACCTCCCAGATGAACCCTGTCAAAATAGATGCTGTAGGCGTGGGGAACATGTACTAGACCCACAGCATGGCACAGGGCAGGAGGCTCTTGCTTTGGGGCAGAATTTACTGAGCCCTTTTTAAAAGAAAGGTGAAGAATAACAATTTCAAAGTTATTTTGAGTAATATTTCACAGAATCACACAGAATCTCTAGGTTGGAAGAGACCTCAAGATCATCGAGTCCAACCTTTGTTTCAGAACACATTTAACGGTGACTTTTCTAGCTCAAGGAGTGTCCTAAGGTACATTTTCTCAAATGCTTCAGATGCAATCTGAAGACTGAGATCATTTCTCTGTCCCTTCTGGCTTCCAGAAAACTGGACAACCCTGCATTCACATACTAGTGGAGGGAAAGCTGGAACCAAACCACTGGTTCCACACAATGCAGGCTGATTTGTTCGTTCTCTGGAAAAGCCTGAGGTAGCTAGCACCAACAGCTGCCATTGAGGGCATGAAGGAGGTACTGCAATATTTACTGCTTTCATAAAGACAAGTTTCTGTAACTGACCCTTTTTAGGTTTACCCAAAATGAGTTAAAAATTAGAAGGGTTTCATGAATATGTTTAACTAACATATTTTAAGGCCATTACCCAGACACATCTTTATTTAAATACATCCCCTCAACTGGTAAACATCTGTTTTTATAATAAGGACAGGAAGAACAATTACATCATCTTGTCTAGCTTCCTCTACAACACGAGCCTTTTCCAGTCAGACATTCTTGTGATTAACTAAAATTGCATTTAATTAAAACATGTCTTCTGGGAAACTGCCCAGTCTTGATTTGAAGACTTTGAGGGATGCAGAATCTACCACCTCCTATGGTAGTTTGGCCTGATTTGTGCTAAAAAAATAGCTTGCCTTGCCTACTCAGAAGAGTTTTGAAATATGTCAGAGTTTGATCACCCTGAGGACTGCCAACGAGCTCACACATGGAGTGTGAACTTCACCACAGAGGGGAGCAGGTACAAAAGATGATTTACTGGGTACATCACTTAAAAAAAAAAAAAAAAAAAAAAAGGCAAAAAAGAGAAATCCCAGCTATCCCCAGAGCAGATAAAGAGCACAACACCTTGAATTTTGTCTCAGTTCAGTCTGCCAGGCTAAAAGAAAGACCAAGCTGCCTTCACTAAGAGCTTTCCCTGCCCACATGTCTTTGTCAGTGTTCAGGAAAAATATCCCCTTGCTGCCCTGCCCACTGCATGACAAACATACTTTCCAACAAATCCATTCAATTTTTAAAAGCTGATGGGATCTTATACTGATCTCCAACAATATTTTGCTGCTGAAGGTCACTAACCAATACTTACAACCACGAACAATGCCGTTCGCTACAGTGTGGGAGGAGTAAATGGTCAGTGGTATGGATCACAAGGGCAAAACAGGAAAGCAGGTGGGCAGGCAGAGCAAAGCTCCTTTGGTAGTGTCTCCATCACAGGACAGAGAGCACTGACCTTCTGCACCAGCTGGTCCCACCAACAGCCCACAGAGGGCTACCAGAGATTTAGGCGATGCATCCAGGAGGATCACACTACCTCATGGCCATGTCCCCAGGACCACCCATCAAACAGGGTGCCAGCAGACAGGGCAGAGGGAGTGGCACAGAAATCTGAATGGGACCACAGTGATGGGCAGTTCCTCAAACTGTGAGTGAGGAAGATGCTTCGTTTGACATTTTTTCCAGAGCTTTGTCCAACCATGTACCAGACACCTCCTGCAGGCCCATGAGCCTTACCCTCCTTGCATGTGATACTCAAATATCTTTGTATTCTTGGCTCACCCAGGGGGCTGTCACACAGAAACAAAGGTATTGAATGAATCCCAGGTAGCCAGCGCAGCTGCTCCAGAAGAAATTTGGTCCAACACGACTAGGATAAATACTTTCTAAACTCCTTTTCTAACAGATTAAAATACTCCCACTGCAGTCTGAAATTACTTCATGACAGCACATGGGAAAATCCAACAGCTGACATGGCTACTGTGCAAGCTACAAAACATAAAAGGTGAAGAAACTATCTAAATAATGAGGAAAAGTGCATTAGGTCAGTAAAGTTCATTCTAACTAAGTGTAATTAGCAGGAGAAGGAAGAAAAATTAGCTCACTGATATTCTTCCACAATGTCCTTTCAAGCGTTCAGGGACATTTAATTTTGCAGAAAAGTTTCAACCAATATAAATATCCCAAATATAATCTTCAGTGTCCTTACCTACTAGTACAGGCAACCTGAACCACATGCTGCTTGGGACTCTCATAACTTTATGTTTTAATCCCACTTAAATCTATGCATAGAAAGTAATATACATCATACTCAGGAAAATGATCTTTCTGGGCTACTTGGCAGTCTGGAGAGTTGCATGTTTTTAACCTTAAAGATGCATCTGGTAAAAAATGGTTAATGGACTCACTTGTCCTCCTAGCAACGTTGTAAGTTATTCAAAGGGACTCAACTGTAAAAATATTTTTTCCAATGATGCTCTTGCTTAATGTTTCTCCATTTCACATGTAGAGGTTTGTTTAAACAAAGTACAACTATTTCTATTTAAATTTTAAAATAACTATGAAAATCTTTCTTTCCATATTAGGTTCAGTAAAGTAGTCTTTTCTTGAGAGCTTGGGAAGGTTTTTGCCAAATTATCATGTTTGTCAAAAATGCAGTTGTATAGAATTGTGGGGCAAAATGATTAGAACATTCAGATAGATCCTGGTAACTATTTTCATTTAAAAAAAAAAAATAAAAAAGTACAACTTTTCCTGATGAGACAATACCTAAAATAAAATTTCCATTTTCAATTGCAGAATATTTTCATTTAGAAATTAAAAAAATAGTAATAATCAAAAGTGCTTCATACCACCCTAAGCCAATGTTGCTCCTTTTTTTTTTCCACCTTACTTTACATGGCTCAGAAAACTGACATCTTTATTTTCTACGATCTGCTTAAAATGACATTTTGCTTTCATTCAGTTTTCTGAGCTAAACAGCAAGACAGTTAGATACATAACCATTCACAATTTTTTTGAGCAAAACAAATAAAATGATGAGTCTGAACTGTGTGATGGCACTGCAGTACGACAGTGTGCCTGAACATCCAAAAATACCAAACACAGTAGACTTTCCTAAGCATCTGCGTGTGTTCATAATGGTCCTACTCTTCTGTCAGAAATACTAAAACCAGATGTCTAAAGATCTGCCAAAGCAAAGCATTTGATCCAAGGGAGAAAGTGTCACCCCCAAAAATTTTGATCAGTGCTTCTCTCAGTGACAATGTGTTGTTCACAACCTGGTAAGTACTGAACTAATGCAACGCAAAGCCCCGTATGAATACAGAGTGGTTGCAGTAAAGAGATTTCCAGGCAAGCCCTTGAGGAGTAACTGGTGCTGCTCCCCACCAACGTACTCACCAATAAATCCTTGGGAGATATTTTACTATTCCTCCTTCAAGAAGAAGACTAAACAGAAAGCACAAGGCCACACAAAACTGACTTCTCCGTGTCAATATAACAACCCTCCCCCTTCTATAATGCATGTGAGCCCGTGACAGTAAGCAGCAACCATGCATAGCAGTGAAGAGATTTCATCCGGAGCATCAGGAAAGTACACGATCCTTCTCGTAGAGCCCAGCAGGTTCTGCATCAGTGACAGCGAATACGACAGATACCTCTTCCTGTACTTGAATGTCCATTCATTTTGATGTGGGTTGTGTCTTTGTGTTCTCAATGGGAATTGTGTGCTGGTATGACAACATGAGGAGCAAAGTGTTTCTTGATTGCTGGAGCTCCTCAGGCCTGGAAACCAAAAGCTGATGCTCTTTCTCTGAGCAGCTCCCGGCACAAAGTGACAACTCCAACTCCCTGCAAATGAAGAAATCCTTCTTATGACACCAAATCCAGATACTCAGAGTTTATGTCAAGATTGGCTTGAATAGAATATCAAACATTCCTGACACTGGAATTGCCTCTATGCATCTGAAGCAGGCTCTGGTGCCCTTGATGTCATGCATGTAGACTCTCTACACAGCTTAAAACACAGCTGGGATGTGCATTCCTGCTTATAGGTGTTTTATGTCTTAATACATTCAATACACCACTTTCCAGTCCAACAGAAACCTTTACCTAATTATTAGCTCCATTTCGAATTTTTCCCTCCTGATTTTAGTTTCCCATTTATCAAAGTTACAAACATTTAGCTCCTGCATGCATGATTAATTTGTAATTATTCTTGTCTCACCCCTCATGTAAACTGCAGTCATTTGTACCCAGACATCTCCTTCTCCATTTCTACTGCTCTCTGAAGACTTCAGTCAGAGAATCAATAACAGTAAGGGCCTACTTCTGCTCCAAAACCAGGAGGCAAACTGCAACCAGTAGCAGTATAGTCAGACAATCCCCTTTAGAGGTTTAACTGCATACGAATGTAATAAAGACCATAAAACCCTCACCCTTCCAAGGCAACGACAGGCCAGAGAAAAGGAAGAGTTTTTTTCTCTTAATCCTCTTTCCTTACAACAGACTCAGCTATTCCAGAGAATAGCTTCCCGTCTGGGGCTTTCTCTCTGGGACCTTGACTTCTTTGGAAGTCCAAAGTCACAGCTCACAGGAGCTCACTTCAGCTGCCTAAACTGAGGAGTCCAATGCCATCTGGGACATCCAAAGGTACCCATGACCTGCAGAAGAGCCGTGTGCTGGAAGAGGAAGTAGAGACTAGGGAAGATTGCACAGGACATCTCAGATCACACAGGCCCTCTAGGCCTACTCATTTGCTTTCTTTCCAGAGCTACCTGCCTCTCCTTTCCTACTGCTTCTTTAACTCTGCATGGCCCAGGCCACTTTTCTGAAACTCTTCTCCACGGGGACTTTATTGTGATTTTCAAAGCAGATTTCTAACATATGTTACCTTCTGGGGGCTCAAAGACTGGTGGATTCAAGCAATACATGTGATAGCCACGGTCACAGTCATCACAGAAGAGCAGCTGGTCCTGAGGCAGGGTTGTTGGAGAGACAGAGGGGGAAAGGGAGAGAAGGAGAGGAGAAGAGAGAGAAAAAATGATGCACATTAGTCTCATGCCAAGATGAAAACATAAGCATGGTAATCAGCATTGCTCAACTAGGAGCAAAGAGCTGCAACGTAGAGACTAAGGGGTTACTGGGAATGTAAAAGGATGTAAAAGACATCACATTTGTGGGTCCGGGATCAAGCACCATATTTCTGAGAGGCCACTGAGAGCCCTTCTCATCACAAAGGCAGTTTGGAAATCTCTCTGAGATTTCTAACTGAAATCCTCTGAGATTCCTAACTTCTCTTGGAAGATTAGACTCTTTTAAGAATCTCTACAAGTCTCTTAGATTCTAACTGGGAAATCTCTGTGAGAACCAGAGGACTTTCTCTCCAAAGTGGCCTAATGGTGCAGGACCAAAAGCTCTTAGGTCAGTACTGAGAGAAGAGGACTGGCTTCCCCACTTTGCTGGGCTCCTGTGTGACCAATGTTGGATCTCATTTTTTCAGCGGAATCCTTTGTCATCAAAAGCCTGGACTTTGCCAGTTATCAAAAACTTAACTGAGTAGCATATACTTTGTGAAGGAGATGTGAATAATGTGACCCTACCTCGTGGTCTGCAGCTCTTTCACACACTTTTAGGGATAAATTCTTCTCCAAAGTGCCCCTGGCTCCTAACACAGAACAGCTCCCTATTCTCAGATTTCCTCATTTACCACTAAAATTTCAGGCTTCAAATTCATTCTGCTATAGGGAATGCAGCCTTAACTACTGTCTCCAAAGTTCTTCGGACATGGCCAGTTCTCCAGGTTTCTCACAGACTATCAAGAGCCCTTATAATTAGATTTTAACTGAGGGAAGAAAAAAAAAAAAAAGTTCAGCTGCAGACTCTGGGTCATGGTCTGGAAATCACTGGAAAAGGTGATTAGGTGACTCATGAGAGGCTCAGCCATCCCAATCCAAATGCTTCCATGTTTCCTGAATATTATATTTAAGATTAAAAAATCATGCCAACAGAGTAAATAAAATCTTGGACCGAAGAAACATACCTGTCATCTCTGGGATTATCACCCATTCAGATTTATTCCTGATTGTAATGTTAAAAACACTACTCTTATGCAGCTCCCTGCAACATGAGTGCATGGCCTCCAGCTAGTTCCTACTGAATGAGCACACCACCATCTTAAGCGGCCCTACTGGATACCCACGGTAATTTCAGCAGAGACCAGAGGCTGAGCGGGTCGCTGAGAGGAGCCCATCCCTGCTCTCAGGAGTATCTCCTCCCAGGAGATGTAGGAAAGCAGCAGAAAGGCAATGACCCACAGCATTGCCACCTGCTTCTCTGGGGCGGGCACGGCAACCCCTGGCTGTGACGCTTACTGGCACGAAAAGGTAGAAAAACTCACATCGTTCTCAGAGGTCCCACAAAGGCTGCAGGATTTGCACTCAATGCACTGCCACTGATAGGTTTTAACAGCCTCAGTCATGTTTGTGGTGAACTGCAGGCAGGTCGGGTGTCCTGAGGAAGATGGGAAACAACCGTCATTGTTAAGGCTCACTTACCCATCGTCAGCAAACCGGCATTATGTTTGGGAACAAAACGCACATGGACATGGACTGATCACAACATGGGCTGCAACTAACAGATACCAAAGAGGAAAGCAGGCATTAACCCTTTCGCTGCCGGGCACAAGAGAAAAATCAGAGTCATCCCCACCCTTTCCCCATTGGCAAAGCAGTTTTACTCAGAGCTCTTAAAAATGGTTTGGCTTTTTGTCTTTGGATTTGTTTTTTGAGATCGGGTTTAGGTTTCTTTGTTCATTTGTTTGTGCTTTTTGTTTGTTTTTGCTTGCTTGTTTTTTATTTTGAAAGACAACAAGAGAAAGGATGAAGTCGGAAACAAACCCAATTTTAGAGGGAGCCCATCCATCTTAATAGCAATTGGACTACAGCTTCAATGAGCGTTGTTTCGACCGGACTGAAGGACCTGGTGGAAATGAGGTTATTCTCCATTTCAGAACTTCCCTTCCTGGTGTCCAGATGGGCGAAGCAATTCTGTAAACTTTGCTTACATGGAAGCAGCAGCATACAGAGAAGAGGCAAGACAGGACGGAGGGATGCAGCTGTCAGGTTGGTTTTTTAAGAGCTCTGCCGCTAAAGTTTGTTGGCACAGAAGAAACCAAATTGCACAGCTAACCTTCCAGGATCAAAACAAGAAACCAAAAGGAAAACACCCCAAGCCAACTCCACAACGAACTAAGTGAAAGGAATAAAGAAGGGAAAGCTAGCAGAACAGTCACATCTAATCGGGGAGGACAAACTGCCAGTTACAACCCCCGCCCCTACATGCGTGTCGACTCCAGCTTTGCAAAACAGCGGTATCACAGTAGCGGGGTCAGCAATGGGCTTTCTGGAGGGGAAAATACAAACAAACAAACAAACCAAAGGTAGGATCAGTGTTCCTTCTGCAAAACAAAACAAGAAAAATATACCGCTGAAATAAAGTGCTGTAGTCCCAAACCACCCCTATCTGGCTAAAGCAGCCTCCTGCAATAAGCTATCGCTCGCCTGCTTGGAAAGCCCTGCATTTAGCATCCCTCTCTGGCACATACAAGCATTTGTACTGTGCAGAGTTGGGGCAGGGGAAATGGGACAGGACTATTCAATTGCTCATCTAAAGGCAGAGAATATCTAGAAATACAGGTACGCACATCCAACACTACTGCACGCTACTTCTAGAAACTTACGCCACCGAGTGTGTGGGCTTTTTTCACCTCTAGCAGATCTGTTCTTAGAAAAGAGCCAGTGGGTAGAAAGCAATTTTTGCCACCTCCACCAGCCTAGGTGTCTTTTTAAGAATGGAGAGGAAAAAGAAAAAAAAGCTGTTTCTCCGATAAGAAGAAAAGGCATGGCTACAGGAGTCATGGGCATAGATGTACTGTCTTCATTACCAGACCTATCAGCGGTACTTTGCTGTGTTATCACATTACCCACCACCAGCCTATAAGAAGCATCTATATTTTCCAGTTAGTGAAGCAAACAGTTGCTGAGAATTGCTGGGTAATGCAATAATGCTGTGGGAAATATATTTTCTTTATGTGCCCATGTTGTTACCAAGCGGTGGAACAAGGATTTTGGTTCTCCAGTTACATTTGCATGGTACTGATATGACAACCAGGCCCAGCAAAGAAATGTGTGTGTGTAAGTTATTAAGGGAATTGAACAGAAGATAAAGGAGATATTTAAGGAAGGAGGGGCCAACAACATTGTTCATGTCGCTTTTTTAAGCCTTTGAGCGAAGTGTTTTGACAGTACTGATGAGCTCAGACCTGCTAAGAAGATCACTAACTCTTGGAGCCCTTGAAATGTCAGCACAAAACAGAAGTCAGATTTTACTGAGATTTACTGAGAACCAAGTCCAAACTGAAGTTCTGGGGACCCTGAAGTCACAACTGTCCAGAAGGCAATTCCGTGACACGAGACCTTTTCTGGCTGAGAGGACCTCATGTAATTTCTGATGCTACCAAACTAGAAAACCTGACATGACAGTGAAACGATCTCCCAGATCTGATTTACAGCAAATGCAGAACCTCATTTCAACACCAGTAAATAGAACAAATGGGCCACACTACACAGCAGGGAGGGATTCATCCCTACAGCTGCAAGTCGGCATCCAGAAAGGTTGTGAAGTGCTGGAATATATCAAAGAAAACAACTCGTAGAGGGGTGCAAGTTAATCAGTTAAATAGCTTCAGTCACATTTGAAAAGAAACAGATACGGAATCAAACTTATAAATAAATCAAACTTTATTTATCAAACTTGATAAATAAATCAAAGTTAAATGCCTACATGCATTCATGTGCTCACTTGCCTGCATACTCCTATTGCTCATTGCAGACTCCAGCTAGAGCCTATCCCTTTCTCACACAACATGAAGGTCAGGTTCTCTTCACTGCTTTATCTCTGTCCCCTTGCAGTCATTCCTGTTCCCTTCCAGCTATCAGTCTTGACTCTCTAGTTCCTTGCTCGCCTCAAAAACACCTTGCACATTTTCTGCACATCTCGTATCAGTGGTGCCCCACCCTGGAAGTGAAACATCCAATTTTGTAGAGCCTTTCTTAAGAACCGTGCCCACCACAAGCCTAAAAGGAGAGCAGGATGTTGTGAGCTGAGTATTCCCTAGAAAATATTATTAGTGGAGTGAGGGCCACCGTGGCTTCTTTTTAGAAGCAAAGAGAATATTTTGCAAAACATACTAACTTACTTCTTTGGTCTCTCTCTCCAAATGCTGTGAGTACAAAGAAGTCTGAAAAAAGTGGCCACAGACATGTCTGCATAGCCATAGACCACTCTCTGTTAGCCCAGGGCCCATTACTTGTCCAAAGCAAAAGGAACACTTCATGGACATCTCCTTCTTTAGCCTCCAAGTCAGATCCTCTTTCACATTAAACATGCCATGTGGTACCATGGCCCCAACCTAACGAAGTTGGAAAGACTATTTTTATTTATGCCAGCAGCTTGGTAAGTTACTGCAGTGTATGGCAAGCATGCCAGTAGACACTTAAGACATTAAAATCCTTTTTTTGATGAAGGAGCCTGCTCTCCTTCATCACCATCCCTCTGTTTTCCTGTTATGTTGGTTGAAAAAGCAGTGTTTTCCATAACCTATCAGAAAATTCACATCCAAGACTTCCTGGAGTTGGATCAGTGAGCACCATCCCTGCTCCACATCACGGCATTCCCTCTGTAGTGGAATACCGGAGGAAAAAGCCCTATAGCTTCACATAACATACTTCTGTTGCTAGATCTGAACTCATTTAAAAAATATAAAAGTTAGTTCAGCTTGTGAACAATTTTACTTCACACAAAGAGCAGTCAAAAATGTGGCTCCAGTTACAAATACTATGGTAGTGCACAAGCCCGAAAGCTGGAAAGGCTTTTTAATTTACTTTCATCAGTTATTTGGTCAGGATGAAAAAAAAAAATACTACTATTTTGATAATCTTGTGATAAATTGCATTCAATATGTTAAGGTGTGCAGCAGAGAGTCTGCAGCAGGATTGTGGTTAATTATTTAGGTGGTGCCTCAGCCCTGGCAAACTCCCGATCACTCTCACATGTCTGCATCAGCTCCGCGGATCTAACAGAAGGCAGAAGTAACACATATTTATGGTGTCACTGAAGTCAATAGACAGACCTCTAAAATACATCCAGGGAGTAGTTCTGCTGAAGGAGAAGGTGATATGTTAACATCGACAGTTTCTAATCTACCATAACTATTCTCTACCTAAACTTTTGCTATGCTGCAATAGCTATAAACAACAGAAACAATAAAACTTGCAGCAAGCAGGTTTCCAACAGCTCATCCCTTTGTCTTAAAGCAATATTTTAAAGTATAGATCAGCCCTGAATGCTCCCCCATCTCTGTCAAAACTCTCATCTGGATCTGAACCCTGTGACTGAGACAATATTTTACAGTGACATCCGTGTTTCACATGCCGCTGGCTTTAATTGTACACTGTGTCCACTGGACGTCTGATCTGAGGAGTGGGGGGCGAAAGCATTTCAGCCACCATTTTGTGACTCCTGCGTGCGGCGCACTTGCAGGCTGATGGTACAGAGAATTTAAACAGAAATACCCTAAAAAAATCTAAAAATCTCTTCTGCTTACGCTGGCTGTGTAACACTAAAGACCAAAACTGACATTAAAGGGCAGGAGCAATCTGCTGCTCCCAGGCGCTCTGTGACCAGCGAAGGCCTGCGAATGGCTCATTAGTGCTTCTTCAATAATGGATTCTGCATCACAAGATTAATTGCAGCCATGTGCTCTGTCACACCCGCCACAGACTATTTAAGTTAACAATCCAATCAATAACCTTTTTCAAACAAAGGCAGAGATTATCTTGAGGGAAAAAAATAAGCAAAGACTCCTTTTTGAAAAAACAAATGTGAAATTATTTATACAGAGCAAAAGGAATTTTCACCCAGTTCCCAATTCCTTCCTTTATCTTCACTGTGTAGTCGTAGGCTTTTTAATCAATAGCATAATGAAAACCCACAGGGCTCCTGGCTATATCATGTCAGAATTTATTCCATAAACTATTCAGGTCTTTAAACAACCATAAATACATATTACAGATATAATGACACAGGAACCCCATCCAAACATGCATGCACAGAAACTGCAAGATTTCCTCTTCGTAAGACTGGATAAGCATTACTATGACCACTGCCATCATCAGACAGAATTATTAGTATTATTCATAAAAAAAGAAGGGAAAAGTAACTTGTAATTCTAATAAGGGATATGTTTTTACGGTTGTGATATAAAACTGTAGCCCTACATTGTCCATCTGAAAATGCAGTTCAGCATGCTTACAGATATCTGGTGTCAACAACCCCACACATTCAAAAACTCTGAGCCAAGTTTGCCAATCAGTAGATTATTAAAAGTACGTTTTATTTGCATTTTAATTCTTGAGCCTTTTAGGGTTCCTCTTTGAAAGGTTCCCAAGCAA